ATTTAAAAACAGGTCAACAACAATGTGGATGTCAGAAGAACCAAGTATTTATCTGGCAGGAGTGGGTTTGTCTGAAGGTCAAACAATATATTCAAGCAGTACTAACAGTTTGGTCTGTTGAAATGTTTCTGACAAAAAACAAAAAAAACGTACCTACATTACTCAGGCCCAGACCCCATGGTTCATTTTTTACCTTAAAAACATAAATAAATGACCTCAGTTTATTGAGGACAGTAACTTTTAGCTTAAATGTAAATAAAAACTCATATCAAAGCACTTGTATAAACAGAAATATCTCCTTACCCTAGGTTTAAGAGGCTTCATTGGAGTTAGAACAGGTGGAGTACGCTCAAAATCTGAATCCTTCAAGACAGTGGTCAACCCTTCACACAAAAAAGGGATTTTAAGCCATTGGAAAACAGAAATTTACTCTGACCTTTTTTTACATGCAGAAGTAAAATACCTTTTTGTTTTTGTAAAGACTTGGAAATTTGTACAGCTGTGATATTATCTTACCTTCATTGTCAGCATGGAACCTCTTCAGTGCATTTCTTGCCGTTTGCTAAAAAAACAAACCAATGAATAACTGCATAGGGATTTACGCAGCAAGGAACAGCTTTATGTCAATGACAGAATTATACCAGAACAACAACTAAGAACAGACACAACCTGAGTAAAAAGAAATTCATTCCCGAATGATGCTTCATTAAAAAGGAAACAAAACCACTTTGCATTTAGACTAATGATCTGGACCATATTAGTGTGACAATAAAGCGAAAAGATCAACCTGTAAAGGTCTGGCTATTCTCCAGTAGCAGTGTGTCGCAGTGAGCTTTATCGCAGATATTTTGGATTTATGCCCAATATTGAAGAGTGGTCTGCGCTATGTTATTCCACACCACAACGCAAGAGCGACAATCATGAACTAGCTGTGGGTCTAGATATGGCCGAGGCGATGAGGAAGTGGAAAAACGCAAGAGGTGAGTTTGTGCGACAACTAAAAGATAAAAGACATGAGGGCGAAAATGAGTGGGGATCTAGGTGGAAAAAGTGTCCCAGCGTTCTCGCGCACCTCGCTCTTCAAGCTGGTCCATCTTCACGAGTCGTTTTCCACAATGGCAGTCATACAAACAAAACAAGCCGGTAAGGTACCAAACAGGAAATACGTATAGTGTAGAGCAGATGTAGATTTGACCAATCAGAGGCCTCCTGTCTGCGGTCACCTAATATTTTGGAGAGGTGAGTTAACTGCGACACACACGCAGACTACCTGGTTTCTGAGTATACATCAGCCTTAAGAAGGAAATAAGTTTCACAGCAGTGGAGCATATGCCTGACGTACAAAAAATCTGGCAAAAACACTGGCATACTTTGGAGAAGTTATGGGTACGTTTTGTATAAGTAGCACACTGAAGCCCGCTGGCACAGGTGGACATATAGCAAGTACGTCAAGAAATTTTGAGCATGCCTCAGTTTTAGAAGGCCAGTCCTGCTCTAAGAACTGCAGCAGCCTGTTTTATGGTCCTCATTGGTCTCTCAGACATTACTTCGTGTCTTATAACAGACAGAGCCAATCACCCGCACACATGCAGAAAGTTCCCCAAACAGATGTAATGGGTGAAGCCCCTGGGGATAACACCAGCCAATCCCTTCTCCTATAGGACACTCTCACACACAGTCAGCTTCTCTTACACTCTGACTGGTTCAGGGAAAATAAAAATGGGGGAGCGGGTTGAGCAGCCCAGACAAATCTGTCATTGAGATACAAAACAAGGGCTACAAAGAAAAAAAGCAAGGAAAAAAGTTGACAAGAACTGGAAGTCAGATTGCTAATGTGTACATACTAAATTTAGAAGTTCTCCCACAAAATATATTTTTATATCAGGATTAAAATCAACCAGAGGAACAAAAGTAGTGCTAAATGGCTCAGTTAGTGTAACTGGTAGGTTACTGCTACTGATTTTTGCTAGTAATAAATAGAGCATACAGCAATAGCCTGAAAAGTAATGCTGCCTCGAAAGAAATATACTGCGTGTGAAAAAACAAAAAGAAGTTAATGAGATTTATTGTTATTCCTAAGGAAATACATTTCTTTCTGTTTGCTGATTTCCAAAAATAAATAATACGAAAAAAAAAATCTCCCTTTCCTTTATAATCAATTTCAAAATAACCAAATATATCCTTGAAAAAAACATACTAAAAAAAAAAACAGAAGAAAAACACTTTAGAGCTGATGTAAATAGATATTCCTAGGATAAAAA